TTTTTTTTTTTGCAGCAAACCTTTGTTTTTTCAACAAAAGCTAGCACAGAGTTCAGTATCTTATACAGCTGATGAAATGGAAATGTTCTAGTCGTAAATACTGGGGCTTTGCTTGCTCAAACTTCTCTGCAGCTGTTATGCTGTATTATAGTTTCTTGTTTTAGATACACCCGTGCTCTTGGCTGTAATGAACTTTTTTGGTCACTTCTGAAACAGCTGGCACATTTGAGACACTTTTACTTCTCTAATTGTTACACTTAATCTTTTTATTTCTAAAAGTGTGTACCTTGGCTAAGATTTCTTAATATATTATTTTTATTTAGATTAGATCATTGCTATTCAATCAGTGATTCAGAAGACACATTCCAGGACTTTGGTCCACAAGCATTTCAACTACTATCTGCTGTGGACATCTTGGGAGGAAAGTTTGGAATTGGAGTTCCAATTTTATTTCTCCGAGGATCTGTGAGTATCTGTGAATTCCCTTCATAGTTCTTTTACTTGTATTACATGTTTTTCAGAAATTTGCCATATGATGATTGTAACTTTGACCTAAGATGGGTTTTTAGGAACTTAGAGAGTCATGTTGAGTTCAAGTTAAACACTACATTCATTACTTTTGATCAAACCTGTTTGTATCACATTTTCTGCTATTTTCATGTCTTGAGCTTCTGTTAGTTAGCTCTGCATAGCAGTCTGAAAACATTGTATTAGTTTATCACATTGCAGTCGTGTAAGTCCCTAGGCTGGTCTTTCTTAGAATAATTAAGAAAAGTTAACTTTTATTGTGTCAAGGAACAGGCAGAACAAAATTGTATCTTTTGGTGCCCAGGAAACTATTAAATTCTTTGAGTAATTTCAGTTTCAGGGATTGTTTTCTAAGTGTCTAATTTCAATAATGGTATTTGAGGAAAAGTTTTTCTTTTTGTCTTTCCTTGTAGTCTGTTTCCTATCAGAAGTATTTGTTTTTTTCAGAAGTATTTAAAATTCTAAGGAAGTATTTTTGTGTATGTGTGTTATTTTGATTTCATTGTGAATACATAGTCATTTTAATTCAACTACTTTTTTTTTGAGTGATTAGTATGTCAATATTCTGCTAAATTGCAGGTGCAAATATGAGTAAGACATGACTTACAGTCCACGGGCTTGTTCTGTAGTCCTTTTGTTTATGTGATTTTATTACTGATTTAGAAGTCTGTAAAACAAAACTGTGAGAGATTGATTTTGGTTGAATAAATTAAGGATGAGAGATAGAATGCTTTGCAGATATACATATTTATTAAAAATGTACTTTACAGACATTAAAATTCTTAGTGTTTATGTAGAATTTTAAAAATCATTATTTGTTAAGTACTTGAATACTTCACATGGATATTTATTTTCTGAGTTTTAATTTTGTTTGGAAAGGAACATACTAAGTTAGTTGTGAAATACTTTTAATGAAGTTTGATGAAAACATCATGTACTTTTCATTGACTTTTCATGTACTAATGTCTTTAGATTCTAAATGGAATTTAAAATTTTGTAAATAACAAGTTTGATTAGTTATAGTAGAAGTATTGCCTAAGGAACTATTAATAGTTTAGCTGCTATGAGTAATACTATTAATATATTTTTTATAACAATAATTTCGTTTGGAAGGGTCAGCTTAAATATAATTGAGATCTATGAAAAACTTTTCTTTAGCACCTTTAATAAAACATGTGTATCCCAGTTGAATGTATGATTTATGAAAATTATCTTTGTTTTAATTTGGAATAATCCACCTGTATCCAGTATCAACAAATAAGTGTAAGCGGGCTCTTAGACAAACTTGAACTGGTCACAAGAGGGATCAGATTTCACCTATTAAAAATCTAAGTCAGACCACTTATACTGGCAGTCTCTTCTGGGAGTCCTCAAATTAAGAAGTTTATCATTTGTGAAATTTTATACTACCCTTGCTAGATAAAAAGCTGAAACTTTTTTAAAAGTGCCACTTAACAAAGATTTGTAGGTACTAACTGCAGTGAAAATAAGGCAAGCCTTCCCCCGTTTCAGTGATCTTGCTATCTACTGGGATATCGTTTTTAAAATCATCATTGTAATTCCTTTGAGAATTTAATAAATTGTTCCCCTTAACCAATTTAGGAAAAACTGATACCTTTGTAGGTAATTTCGATCTGTAAAATAAATGTCTTAAACTGAGAACTATTGGAGTTTGTTTAAAAAGATAATATATATAACATAATTTCAGTAGCCCATAATTCTCTCTTATACAAGATTTTTCTGAATAGTATAAACAATTATGCAGCATATCCACAAGTTTGTGAATGTATTTTAAAATTTTGTTTTTACAGCACAAGTTTGATTAGAAATTAAATAGTGAAAGTATTACTTTGTTGGAGAACTGTTGTAGTTCTAAACAGCTTACCATATAAAAGTCTTTAAATACTCTTTGTGAATATGTGATAAAATTTACAATGACCTTTATTTTATAGGTGAGAAAAGAGAAACAGTCATTAATTTGTATAACCAAGAGTTTAAGTGAAGCCTCTTTTCTGATAATATTATCAAAGAATCATATAACACTTTTGATAAAATATGATTTGACAATAGGCACCCGTTGGAACTGTTGGTAGTTTTAATCACCTTTTATAATTTTTAGATTAACAGGAGATAGTTCTGTATTTAATTTTCTGGGCAGGTCATTTCATCTCATTGAACTATATTCCTAACGATAATTATTGCCACTTTATCTTTGGTTTTATTTTGCACACAGTTACGACTCACAGCGACTGTCTAAAGCCTGAAGTAGCAGCTGTGAGTTGATTTGGGCTATAGAAACTGGGGATAGAGAAAAAAAATTAACAAAAACTATGGGCTTGTTCTGTACTTTTAGAATTTAGGAATTTTAAACTTCTTGGATTGGAGTTTGTAACTATTTTTTTTTCCATTAGTTAAACATCTATTTTTTTTGGAAGGCACTATATTCTATTTTGTGGGGGGTTCAAAGCTAAATTAGATGACGATTATCATCCAGTATGCAAGGAGTTTCTGGGGAAGAAATAAGTATAATGTAGAGAAAAGGGCACATGAATGGATGTGAGATCTTCCTGCAGTCCTGAAAAGAGAGGCACAAGGAAGGCAGAGAAGTGGTCCTCAACACAGCACGAGAGCTGCTTTATTTATGGGGAAATAGTCGATTTTGGTGAGATAGTCCCAGTTTGGATATTCATTCGGCGATGGACTGAAGGAAGATAGGTAGAGAAGAAAACAGCATTTCCAGCAGAAAGAATTACTACAAAAGCAATTGTGATTTTTAAAGACGTTAGTTTGGAGAAGCAGCACATTTTTTGTAATGTTTGGCTTTTTTTCTTTATTGGATAATGGGGCAGAGGTTTTGCTCTTACTCCGTGTCAGGAACTCACACCTTGCACCGTGTGCTCTGGCCAGTCAATTCTCTTTATTCCAACACCTACCCATCAGTTAGCAGATTTCCACATTCCGCGATGTGTCAGTTTTGGTGACTCTTCTATTTCCAACCTGATTTTCAAAGGAGAAGGAAGAGATGAAAATTTTCCTTTTTGAGACTCTGTCCTGTAGCAGTGCAGCCTCTGAGAGCTGAAACTGGCAAAAAGGCGATTTAACTCCCACACTGTATCTTACTACAGTGGAAACTGAGTCAGAATGGAAATCAAGTGACCGGCTCCAGGTCATACTGTTTACTTTGTGCCAAAAGCAGGCCGGGCAAATGGTTTCCTGCCTACTGGTCTAGTGCCTTTTCTCTTTATTGTGCTGTTACATACAGTTTTAAATTTTTATTTTATAATTGAATGATTTAGTGATACTGGAATGAAGTTATGTGATTGGTAAGGGATACGTGTGTAAAATTATGTTCCTCTTGAAAATCAATTCCTATTTGGAGTCCAGTCAGTCTTAAAAATAAAATCCAGATCGGTGCCCAAATGCCCACACTGTATTCTCTGTATGTGTACATACATGTTACTACATTATCAAAGTGTTGAACTTTATCACAGTTTTCTCATCCTGGTCAGTTTTACTCCACTGGTGGATAACCTAGACCATTATATTAACTGGAACACTGAAGCAATTAATGAACGTACCTCACTAAGAGTGAGAATTTTCTTACTGTATTAATTCTGTGTTTAAGAAAAATGTCACTTGGCTCAGTCTGGATTTCTGGTTGAGAAGGGAATATGATTTCCTTAAAACAAAGATACTCTGCTATCAAAGAGCAAAAATATTTCATCCTCTGCATGCTGACTGCCATGGTAACAAGGCAGTGTGAATTTATTCAAATAGTACATAGTACTCACAATGATTATTACTCATGACAGATAGAGACAGTCACTCACTACTAATAAGAAAAGGCCTCATTGTTTCACACTAATAAATGTGCTGACTCACTTCAGGGTTTTTGCTTATGAAAGGAAGAGCGAGAAGAGTTATTTATAGTGTCTAGAGAGCTAGTAAGTGTTAGTTAGGCCACTTAATACCTTTGGTGTTATTAGTTTGCAAGTGATAGAATCCTCTACCACAAAGGTAAGTCCCCACCAGATATAAACTACCATTAGCAGTACTCCAGGGAAAACTGACTAGCTACTAAATCATGGTTTTTAAGAAATTCAAATGTAGTTCAAAGATTAGCTATTAACTAATAGAAAGAAAGTTAATGGCCTGTTGCATTGGGATGGGTGGATTGCTGGAGGTCGGGAGTTTAAGACCAGCCTGTGCAAGGGCGAGACCCATGTCTAAAAACTAGCCAGGCCTGTGGCAGGGCCTGTTGTCCCAGCTACTCTGAAGGCTGAGGCAGGAGGACCACTTCAGCCCAGGAGTTGGAGATTACTGTGAGCTATGATGCCATGGGAGCCTCCTACCAAGGGCAACATAGTGAGACTCTGCCTGGAAAAGAAAAAAAAAGAAAAAAGAAAGTTAATATTATTAAGGCAGGTTTTATTCTGATTACTCAATCTTTACAACATTCCCAAGAGATAGAAATGAATATATTTGTATCTTAGACGAGGAAATAGAATCACAGATAAAGTAATTTGCCAGAGCTATGACTTGAACCAAGGCAAGCTAGTTCAGGAGCCTGTACGTGTATGTAAATTGGGTGTGTGTGCGTGTGCACACATATATAGAATAATAAAAATTAGGCTGGGTATAATAGTGGCTCTTACCTGAATCCTAGCACTCTAGGAAGCATCGGTGGGAGAATCACTACTTGAGCTCAGGAGTTCAAGACCAGCTTGAGCAAGAGAGATACCCCATCTCTACTAAAAATAGAAAAACTAGCCTGGTGTTGTGGGTGCCTGTAGTCCCAGCTATTTGGGAGGCTGAGGCAAGAGGATTTTTGCAATGTAGGAGTTTGAGATTGCTGTTACCTATGATGATGCCACGGCACTCTACCCATGGGGATAGAATGAAACTTGGCCTCAAAAAAAGAAAAAAAAAAGGGTGGCGCCTGTGGCTCAATGGGGTAGGGCGCCAGCCCCATATGCCAGAGGTGCCAGGTTCAAACCCAGCCCTGGCCAAAAACTACAAAAAAAAAAGCAAATAAATAAAAATTAGAGCTAGTAGTCTGGAGGCCTGTGTTTACTCCTGGCTGCAGTGCACAGATACACAGTGGGTTTTTAGGCTATCACTTAACATCTTTGAATCCCTGATTTTTTGTTAGTATTATGAGTAAAAAGTGACTAAGATAGAATGCTTCCAGCTCTGCAATTCTATGATATTTTATTCTACCTTTTTTTTTTTTGAGACTGAGTCTTACTATGTCGCCCTTGGGAGAGTGCCGTGGTGTCACAGCTCACAGCAACCTCAAAGTCTTGGGCTTAAGTGATTCTTTTGCCTCAGCCTCCCAAGTAGCTGGGACTACAGCTGCCCACCCCAATGCCCAGCTATTTTTTGTTGTTGTTGTCATTGTTGTTTAGCAGGCCCAGGCTGGATTTGAACCTGCCAGCCCCAGTATATGTGGCTGGTGCCCTAACCACTGAGTGACAGGTGCTGAGCCTTATTTTACTTTTTAAAATTAATTGTTTTTGCTCATAGTTAAGAACATGGTATTATGAGGCACCTATCTATAGTAAAGTTACTGTACTCCAGTATAGTGGTTACTATAGGGAAGGTTACTGTAGTAAAGCAAATTAATGTATCTGTTATCTCATGGAGTTAGTTGCTCATTTTTCATTTTTGTGGTAAGAACAGCAAAAATCTATTCATTTAACAGGAATCCCAAATACAGTACAGTTGTATTAACTGTAGTTCTCATGTTGTACATCAGCTGTCTAGACTTGTTTTTTTTATATACATTAGGCTTAATTTTTGAAGTCTGTAGAAATTGACCTAAATATCATGGTGACCATAGGCAGGGATAGTTAATAAGGAAAAAAGGTGCCATGATATACCTGGGTATTTATATTTCTCTAAATCTTGTTCCAATAACATTTTTGTAAGTATAATCATCATGGTTCATTCCTTAGCTATCTATTTTTTTAAATTAAATCATAGCTGTGTACATTAATGCAATCATGAGGTACAGTGTGCTGGTTTTATATACAATTTGAAATGTTTTCATCAAACTGGTTAACATAGCCTTCATGGCATTTTCTGCTACATTTTTTTTGGATGGGGCTGGGTTTGAACCCACCACCTCTGGCATGTTGGGCTGGTGCCCTACTCCTTTAAGCCACAGGTGCCGCCTGGCATTTTCTTAGTTATTGTGTTAAGACATTTATATTCTACACCTAGTAAATTTCACATGTACCCTTGTAAGATGCACCGTAGGTGTGATCCCACCAATTACTCTCCCTCCACCCATCCTCCCCCCTCCTCTCCCCTCTCTCTCCCTTTTCCCCTTCTTCTTGGGCTATAATTGGGTTATAGCTTTCACAAGAAAGCTATAAATTGGTTTCATAGTAGGGCTGAGTACATTGGATACTTTTTCTTCCATTCTTGAGATATTTTACTAAGAAGAATGTGTTCCAGCTCCATCCATGTAACCTTAGCTATCTTAATAAGGATGGTTCTGTGTTTGTATTTATTAAGACTTGATAGAGAGCACGTTATAAACTTTGGTAACTACACTTACGGGAAGCTTATGTTTTAAGTCCAGTGTCTGGACACTGGCGTATTTGTCTCTGGTGGGAACTTATCCTGCTTCACCCAGTTTCATCCTAACTTCCTTTTCATGAAAGATCAGCCTTATAGACTCTATTTTTGCAAATCTACACCTTGAAATAGTAGTAAATGATGTAGGCATATTAGTATTTACCTATGATATGATTTATTTTTACTTTTAGTCATATGCTTAATATCTTCACGTTTAAGTGTGTCATTCTTGTTTTATCTGGCTCAGAATGTTTGCATTCCCATTTTTAACATTTCAAAATGGTAACCTATAACCATCATGTTCTCATCAGCTGACTAAAACCAATACATTTGTAATAGCGAGCTGTACGGTTGCCTCAGTTACGTCTGCTGCAAAGTATCCTGTATATTCTTTTAATTTTGATCTCTGGATTTTTATGTACATTGTTAAACCTCTTGTAGGGTATAGAAGAAATGTAAAAATATTGAATTATAGTCTGGGTTTTCCTAGATTTTTATACTGCATTTTATATTGACATTTTTAGAATACAGTAACTTCTTGACATATTCAAGGAATGAATGTTTTGAAACTAAAATATTGTACTTGCTTATAATCATTCCAGCCAATTTAAACAGAATGGTATGTGTTACTGGGTAGTAAATGGCTTTTGATATTGTTGACAAGGTTCAATTGAAAAATAGTTTACCAAGGGAGCTGCTGGCTCTTCTACAATCAAACAGCTACCTGTCAACTTGGGAAGCTGCCACTGGAGCATCAACCCCAAACTGCACTGAGGTGGAAGTTACAACAACCAGGAAAGATTTACTTCTGCTTGCTCTGAGAACCAGCCTCCACCTGCTCTATCAAAATAATGGATGCCTCTTAGGAAGCTAGAAGTCGTATGCTGGGTTCTTTGATGACACTTTTTTATAAAAATTCAACACATCCACAATTGTGCATCCCTGTAAAAAATAGCTGTGGAGTAATTTTTGCCTCTTTTTTCTGCTTTCACTTGTCATGCAGCTAGGGATCTGATTAGCACAACTTAAATCCCATCCAGAACCTTAGCTGAAGGGGAGTTAGAGAAATAGTGTTTATAACTTCCTAGATTCTGCAGTAGAGGAAGTCACTGTGGTTGGAGGTTAAAATGACCCTTGAATTACACTCTGCCATATTCACCACAAACACATTAGACAGGAGTGATTTCTATAGAGCCCCACTGTCATATACTAGTTTACACATTGAAAGGAGTATTTCAGTGTGTAGGGTGAATGAAAGAGGCTGTAAGAGGACAGAATGAATGGAAAAATACTTTATAAAGAGCACAGGCAGGGAGAGGCCTCTCCCTTGAAGGACAGGAAAATCGCATGTGATCGGCCCGCTTCCCTAACGCTTCTAGAACTTGATGGCAGTGAAGAGTCTCCTGCAGGAATTCTCTTTCTGGAAAAATGACTCCAAAGCATCAGCTGTTTAGCCTGCTCCTGCTTTACCCAGTGTGTCTCAGTGAAGCAGGAAGTCACAAATGATTGAGTCAATGTCACAGTGTGTCATGAACTAGAGCACAATAAAAGCAGCCATGCGGGGGAAGCTGTGAGTTGTACCATGTCATAAGTGAGCAGCGACTGGGTCGTGCACGTTGCCTTTTACTACTTCTGCTTCTAGTCTTCAGTTGGAGGTTAGAATCAGTGGTTTTAAAGAATAATGTGCGTATGCTAAACCGAGGTCGGAAAAGCAAAGGTTAAGTATTCCAGACACATACACGTGTCCAAACCTACACATGGGGAAATGCCTCTGACTTATATGTGAAATCTCCTGCTACTATTGTAAAACGCAAAGGAAACACTATTTTGATTATATATGCATATTTATTAGTGAGTTGAGTGTTCAGAACAAGCATGATGAGTCTAAGGATTCTGTAGGTTTTTAAAGCTGAAATTTAATATTAAACCTGAAGAAGCAATAGATGGGTGTTTTACTTAACCCACTTAATTAAACCAGCATGTTAAAATACTGATTTTATTCCTAATTTCAGCATTCTCAGCGTCTTGCAGATACATATCGCCATCACCATTTCTTTGGCATTGGCAAGGCTAAACCAGAGAATTGGTGGAAGGCTTTTTCCCGTCAGCTCATAACAGAGGGATTCTTGCAAGAAGTTTCTGGACAAAACAAATATGCAAAGCTTTGCACCCTTACAGAAGAGGTAAACAATCTACAAGTCTGCCTGTTTGACTTCATTTTTCTCACTATGCGTTAAAAGATTCTTCATGCTTTTGATAGGGTAGAAATTGGCTTGATGAAGCCAAGACAGAGTCTCCTCCCCGACTTGTCCTTCAAGCCAGCGAATGTGAAGAATTGTTTCCAACCAAGTTTCCTTGGCCAAGGTTCACTTTTTAATTTTTCTCTTTTAACTTCTGGGTTTTTTTTCTCTATTTTGCTGTTTAATGACTCAAATTACACCAATTTATAGGCATCACACAAGGCACCTTGGTTTCACACTCTTATTTTAGTCTGTTTGGAGATTGGCGGGGGCTTCTGAAGGAAAAAGATAATCATAGGACACTTCCTTGGTTGATGGAAAGTACGACCATAGTATTTAAAAGCTGCTTTGCCATTTGTTAAAGAAGCAACATTGAATTCAATGCTGAGGAATCCATGTAGTATGTTTGCTTCATATGTGTAGAAGGTGGGAAGGGAATATACTTGTTGCTTACTTTTTAGTACCTTTACATGCTATCTATCATTTATGAGTTTTTTTCTTTCAAGCTTCTTAAATCTCCCAGAGCTTTACTGGGGGAAAAATATCAATTTTCAAAATCATCAGTTCTGAAAGGATAATATAATCTCACTCACCTTTCTGAGAGTGAAAGCATGATGATTTATGAATTAGATAATTGCAGACTGACATTTGAGATCATTTAATTTAATTTTTTTCTTTTATTAGCTCTAAAGCTGTATCTTCAGGCACTGAACAGCATTTCTCTCCGCAAGTACCGATTGAATTAGCTGCAGAAAAGGTTTGTGTTAAATAGGCAGCTCTTACTTCCTTCTTTATGAATGCAACTCCTATTTTAAAACTTTATATTTTAGTTCTTCAATTAAAGAGAACACAGCACATATAGCAAAATATAAAATTTGGAAAGAGAAGTGAAATGAGCAGACTCAAATATGTGGTCTATGATTTCTGGGGCTCATAGAAGAATTAGAAGTATTTCAGAAAGCAACTCATTTTTATTCTTTTAAGCCTTTTAACTCATGTGGCTTAAAGTTTTTACATATTATAATACTTATAGTTGATAGAAAAATAAGACCAATTCCAAAATGTTTTCATTAAAGCTACATACGTGTAAGTTCTTGTTTGTTTTAGAGCTTAGATCATTATTAGGTATTAAATACTAACTCACAGGCAGACTTCAGCTAATCAGAACACTGGATGATAGATGAATGTGGTAAATTAAATTTTCTGGTGAACTTTTTCTGCTTTATTAAAGTATGCAGAATGTAACTGGATTATTTTTTTAACTTTGGCTCTTGCTGTATCTTAAAGCATCCTTTTGATTATTTATTTTCTGTGCTTTTGAGAGGAAGGGGACATGGAGTTGCATTTCTGACTGCCTTTGGAATCCTAGTAGTTCTTATTTTCAGGTGATTTATTTGATGACTTGGATAGTCAAAAGAAAAATTGTCATTGTGAGATTTTGCATCTTTTATTTTCCTCACATTTAAAAGTTTTTTGAAACTTCTCTTTTTTTAATGGCCGTTTATATATTTAAAAGAAGTCTAACTTGGAGACGATGTATTCTTACAAAGCACTCGATAAGATTTCTTCTGGGAGTACCATTCATAAAAAAAGGTACGGAGTTCCATATCTATGTTCTATACTTTATGAGCACTTTTTTCGTTTTCTCCTAAAGAGGAAGGACTGTTAGATGTTGGGATATTTCATTGGCAAAAGGAAGGTAAAGCCTAAGCCTTCAGTATTATAATTATTAAGGCAACCTATTATTATTAATGATAATTTAATAGCTAATGCTTCTTGAGCTTCTATTGCCAGGCACTATGTTAAATGCTAAGAACTTTCTATGTAATATTTTGTTTAATTCTTACAACACATGTGTTAGCTATTAATGTTTATCCCAGTTTTATAGTTGAAGATACCAAAGGCTAAGGAGTTTACTAACTTGTTCAGGAGCACACAGCTAATGGCAGAGCTGGCCATCAGGTCCACATCTGTCTACCTCTAGCATCTAAACGCTATTTGATTATATTTGCATGAGACATATACAGGCACATCTTATGTTATTGCACCTTACAGGTATTACATTTCCTACAAATTAATGGTTTATGGCAACCCCGTGCTGAGCAAATCCATTAGTATCATTCTTCTAACAGCGTCCAATGTTGTTATATCTCTGTGTCACATTTTGGTAATATCCAGAAAGGTCCAAGTATTTTCATTATTATTATATCTGTTTTGGTGATCTGTGATGGGTGATCTTTGGTATTATTATTGCAGTTGTTTTGAGCTGCTTGAACTGTGCCCATAAAGGATGGCAAACATAATAAATGCATGTGTTCTGGCTGCTCCTCCAACTGGTCTTCCCCCCATCTCTCTCCCTCTCTTCAGGCCTCCCTATTCACTGAGACAGGAATATTGAATTTAGGCCGATTAATACCCTATATTGACCTCTAAGTGTTCAAGTGAAAGGAAAAGTTGTATGTCTTTCACTTTAGGTCAAAGGCTAGAAATAATTAAGCTTACTAAGCCAGGCATGTCATCAAGAGCCGAGATAGGCTGAAAACTAGGCCTTTTACACTAAACTGTTAGCCATATTGTGAACGCAAAGGAAAAGTTCTTAAAGGAATGGAAAGTGCTACTTCAGTGAACACATGAATGATTAAGAACTGTAGTACTAATATGGATAAAGTTTTAATAATCTAGATGAAAGATCAGAGCAGCCACAGCATTCTCTTAAGCCAAAGCCTAACTTAGAATAAGGCCCTAACTCTTTTCAATTCTGTGAAGACTGAGAGAGCTGAGGAAGCTGCAGAAGAAAAGTTTTAAGCTGGCAGAGGTTCATGAGGCTTGAGGAAAGAAGCTGTCTCTGTAACCTAAAAGTGCACGGTGAACAGCAAATGCTGATGGAGAAGAAGTTATCTAGAAGATTTAGCTAAGATACTTGATGAAAAGTGGTTATGATAAACAACAGAATTTCAATGTAGATGAAACAGCTTTCTATTGGAAGAAAATGCCATCTAGGACTTTCATAGCTAGAGAGGAAAACTTGATGCCTATCTTCAAGGCCTCAAAGGATGGACTGACTCTCTTGTTAGGGGCTAATGTACCTGTGACTTTAAATTAAAGCCGGTGCTCATTTAATTTCAAAAATCCTGGCACCCTTAAGAATTACAATGTTCTAAATCTCTGCAAATAGCAAAGCCTGGATAACAACACATCTATTTATAGCATGATTTATTGAATATTTTAAGTTCATTGTTGATATCTTCCACTTATAAAAAGATTCCTTTCAAAATGTTGCTCATTGACAGTGCACCTAGTTACCCAAGAACTCCAGTGCAGGTGTACAAGGAGATTATTACTGTTATTTTCTTTTTTTGAGACAGAGCCTCAAACTGTCCCCCTGGGTAGAGTGCTGTGGCATCACAGCTCACAGCAACCTCCAACTCCTGGGCTCAAGCAAGTCTCTTGCCTCTGCCTCCCAAGTAGCTGGGACCACAGGTGCCCACCACAACACCCGATTTTTCAGTTGCAGCCATCATTGTTGTTTGGCGGGCCCAGGCTGGATTCGAACCCACCAGCTCAGGTGTATGTGGCTGTCGCCTTAGCCACCTGAGCCACAGGCACTGAGCCTATTACTGTTATTTTCATGGCTGCTAACACAACATCCGTTCTGTAGCCCATGGATCAAGGAGTCTTTCCAACTGTCAAGTCTTATTATTTAAGAAATATATTTTATAAGGCTGATGCTGCCATAGTGATTCCTTTGATAGATCTGGGCAAAGTCAATTGAAAACCTGGAAAGCATTCACCATGAAAAATATTCATGATCCATGAGAGGAGATCAAAATATATCAACATTAACAACACTTTGGAATAAGTTGGTTTGGGTTAAAATCAGTTCAGTAATAGACATACTGAGTTTGGCATACCTGTGGAATGGTTCAAAATTAGATTAAATTTATAGACTTAGTGTTCAGAAGTGAGCAGGCTACTTACATTACAGGTAACTATTATTTAAAAATTCATTTAAATTTTCTTCAAATAATACATGTCCTAGGTTTAAGATGTCGGTACTTTGAAGGACACTAGTCCACACACTTCCCCAACACACTTTGTTCTTTTCTATAGCAAAAATCACCCGCAAATCTTCTAGCTGTTTGGTCTGGTATTTGCCTCCATATTTCTAAGTGACATGCTCAGATTACTATTTTTCGATTTACTGGGATTAGAAATTTTCTATTGACTTGCTATCATGGTAGGTTTCCCCTGTTCATTCCTCTACCAATGTGATTCTATTAAAAGTTGGTCATAGTGGACACAGTTATAAGAGAGGCTTTACCTAACAGATGCACTCAGTATAACCTAATTCTTTGTACTCTGAATGAATCCCAAACAACAAAGAAAAGTTGGTCATATTTGTCAGGCACAGTAGCTCACACCTGTAGTCCTAGCACTCCATGAGACGCTGAGGCGGAGGGCGCACTGCTTGAGCTCAGGAGTTTGAGACCAGCCTGAGCAAGAGCAGGACCCCCATCTCTGCTAAAAATAGAAAAAGTGAGGCAAGAGGATCACTTGAGCTCAAGAATTTAAGGTTGCTATAAGCTATGATGCCATGGCACTCTACTGAGGGTGACCAAAATGAGACTCTTTCTCAAAAAAGAAGAATATTTATTTTTTGGTGTTCATAATTTTCTTTTGCTTGTTTTTTACTAATTGTTCTTTTCTCCGATTTCAATATCTCTGTTTACAACTCTTGGCAAATTCCTTGACTTTTTATCCCCTCCCCTAGTGAAATTTTATTTTTAGTTATCAAATTTTTAATTTCTCTTTCTTGTTCTCTTCTTGTTTCTATGTGAATGTATTAACAGTCTTTTCTTGTTTTGTGGATACAGTAACTTTGCTTATATCTCTGATGATACTCATAGTTATTTTAAACTTCTCTTCTATGTACTAGTAATATTCATAAGTAAAATTTTTTTTATTAAACTTTTTCTGCATATATTTCTGCCTCAGGGATATGTTACCCCAAATTTTGCTGGTATATAATGTAACAAAATTTCTTTGTGAAATAATTTTAAAATAACAATATGATAACAAAATTTCTGTGTGAAATAATTTAAAATACCATTTTTCTAGTAACACATTAGTATAGATTTCTGTAAATACTAAGATAAAGGTTAATATACATGGATAAATTTATTTTTATTTTTATTTTTTTATTTTTTTTGAGACAGAGCCTCAAGCTATCCCCCTGGGTAGAGTGCCGTGGCCTCACAGCTCACAGCAACCTCCAACTCCTGGGCTCAAGCGAGTCTCCTGCCTCAGCCTCCCAAGTAGCTGGGACCACAGG